CCCCAAAACCCCAAAACCCCAAAACCCCAAATCCTTTAGATAATATTGAACTCTTACATTTCCTTAATAATACTTATTTTCTCTTAGTCACCTTGACGCTAAAATGGATCTGATCGACTTGTTCTCAAACTGGTTTTGGCTTAGAAGATATTTGTATGGGCTTAAATTTTCTACTATCTTGAACAGACTCTATAGATAACCCAAAATGCACTCACTCTGGATAGAATTTAATAAGAACTTCCTCCTAATTTTTAATGAGGGATTGACTCGTGAATTAATCATGCTTGATAAGGGATTTTTTGATTTATTTTGCCCCTTTCTTCCTCTGTAGTTTAGAAGGCTTAGCCATTATGATATCGTCTATTGATTTATTCCCCTGGCCGAGGTTAGCCAGATAGATAGGATCTCCACCCCTGAAAGTCTTTATTTTCAAGCTATTTAGTCTGTTCTCAAAACAAAGGTCGGATTGAAAGTAGGTTTTTATCAACATTTGAGTAAGTCTCAGAGTCAGAATCTTGACTACTTCCTACAGGACTTAGTGAAGAGTTTACTTGTAGAAGCGTTTCTATGACTAAAGTACTTAGGAACTTGTAATCGCTTTCCGTTACTAGAAAAATTTAGAAGCCTGTGAGTCTTTCTGCTCTTCTTCCTTTTCTTGAATAAACTCCTAGCAGTATCATCCAACTGTAAGTCTTTGTTAAATATATTATCTGACATCATGTTTGAATAAGGGCTTTCTTCTAGAGATAGACAAAATTCATACTTTTAGAAAGAGGTATAGATTCAAGCATGAAACTATGGTTTTTGTATGGGTTATTGGTGATGTTTCTATAAGTTATCAGGACCCATACTCCACGCTTTGGTTGACTTTTCAATTATCTGAGACTTTCAGAAAGCTTTCTAAATTATTATTAAGACCAACAAAATACTTTCCTTCTTGGTTAAAAATGAATCTAAAGAGGAATTAATTTTTATATAGCTTGAACAATCCTGTTCTTCTTCAGCTTTTCGACTTTCTGGATGACAATATTTCACCTGAGAAGTAGCTATTGTGCTGATAAGTGAGAGCAAGCTTACAGAAATATGTCAGCTTTGGCACACTTTCATGGTCAAACCTCTCCTGCTGAGGGGTAAGATTTCTCCTAAAAGACTGTCTAAGCACCCTCCTCTGCTGTGTTAATAAACTGAATTTGGCTGAATTATTTGATGATTGTCTACTATCCTGTATCTCCTTCTTTCCTTTGCTGTATTTATTTCTGATGCTAGAAATAAGACTAATCTATTACTTTTGCATAAGTTCTCTATAACTTTTCTCAAATATATTGTCTCTTGACAACTTGAGGATCTTTTCATGGTGATTCTGTATGGGTTAATGCCTGTTAGAACCTTTTTACTGCCTTGCTTCAATTCCTATGAATCTAAGCTAAATCTTACCATTTTAGGGATACTTCTTGTGCTGCTATTTGACTTGTAATTCAGACTCTTCTGATAGCTCCTAGTAAAGTCTTTACGGCTTGTTCTATAGAGAAAACATTAGTAATTTGAGGAATTCTGTTGCTATTTTAGATGAGAATGTTCACACTATTTTAGAAATATTTTGGAAATGTCAGCCTTAGGGTTACAGACCTTGGTTCTGAATAAAGCTCTAACGAGAATTACGAAAGATTATATATTAGTGGAGTATTTTAGATAGGAATCTTACAATGAATCTGAAGTAAAGTTTAGATCTCTTGGTCCTGCAGGTTGAGGGTCTGCTTCATTTAGTTTCATCTCTGTGCTCTCGCCAAAGGAAATTATGTAATCGGCTGGCCTCAGTTGTTTCATTATAAATAATAAATTTCAATACTGAAATTAAAATTTGGGGTTTTGGGGTTTTGGGGTTTTGGGG